CTATTATTATTATTATTATGATGATGAAACTGCCTGGGACGGAGGCCGAGAGACAGAAACGCCCCATGGCAGGAGTCTCTAGGATGGGATGTATAGTTTGCAGGGACGGAGGCAGGCGGCAATGGGACGCGGGGAGCGGACGGGGGGAGTGAGTGCCTTGAGGGTTTCGGTCGTGTTTACGGAGAGGAGAGGTCCACGCCCGCAAAGGACTTGTTCACAGGACATGATGGGAGACGTAGTTTTCCGGCTTCGGGAGGCGTAGTTCAGGGAAGTCCAAGAGTCGGGATGCAATAGCTTTAAGGAGAGCCTCGCCTGCGCGCCGCAGTCGTTTCTTCCTATGCCTTCCCTTCCTTCCTTTCTTTCCTTTTTTCTTTCATTCTTTCTTTCCTTCCCTTTCCTATTCCTTCCTTTTCTTTCTCTTCCTTCCCTTTGTTTTTCTTCCCTTCCCATTTTCTCCCTTCCCCGTTCTCTTCCTCTTTTTCTTCTTTTCTTTCTTCCCTTTTCTTTCTATTCTTTCCTTTCTTCTTTCTATTCAATTTCTATTTGATTTTCTTCTTCCTTCTCTTCCCTTTTCTTTCTGTTCCTTCCTTCCCTTTCTCCCTTCTCTTCCTCTTTCTTCCTCTTTTCCACTGCTTTTTTTTCTTTCGTTCTTTCTTCATTCTCTTTTCTTTCTATTCTTCCACCTTTCTTTCCTTTTCTTTCTGTTCCTTTTCATCCCCTTTCGTTCTTTCTTTTTCTTTCTTTCTTTCCTTCCTTCCTTCCCTTTCCTGTTTTTTTTTCTGTTCCTTAAATTTGTTTTTCTTCCCGTTTCTTTCTTTCTCCTTTCCCCGTTCTCTTCCTCTTTTTCTTCTTTTCTTTCTTCCCTTCTTCTCCTTTCTTTTCTTTCTATTCCCTTCCTCTTTCGTCCTTCTTTTCATTACTCTTTCTTTCTCTTCCCTTCTCTTCCCTTTTTCTTCCCATTCCTTCCCTTCCTTCCTTCCTTTTCCCTTTCTCCTTCCCAGTCCTTCCCTTTTCCCTCTTCCTTCCTCCCCTTCCTTCCACTCTTCTCCTTCACGGAGGTTTCCTTCCTCTTTTTGCAAACCCCTTCCCATTATTTGCAAAGCAATGCCGGGCTCCGTCGGGGAAGCCAAGCCCAGGCGGGCAGGCAGGCGCTGTTGTTGTTGTTGTTGTTGTTGTTTGCTCAGGAATCTTGCCAGGAAGGGCTTTTGGGGGCTCTGAGGGAGGGCCGGGCGACAGGAAGGGATGGGCGGGGCAGGGCGGGGCATCCAGGTCTATTTTGAAAAAGAATAGGAAGTTCATTATCACCTTCATTCTTGGCTGGGATTTGCAGGGTTTGCAGAATTTGCCATTTTCAGAATTTGCAGGTTTGCAAAATTTGCAGAGCTTGCAAAATTGCAGGATTCGTAAGGTTAAGGTTTGCGACTTTTGCAAATTTGCAGGTTTTTCGAATTGCAGGGCTTGAAAAAGTGCAGAATTTGTAAGGTTTGCAGGGTTTGCGAATTTTGCAATTTTCACAATTTGCAGGTTTGCAAAATTTGCAGGGCTTGCAAAATTGCAAAATTTGTAAGGTTAGTGTTTGCGTCTTTTGCAAATTTGCAGGTTTTTCAACATTTGCAGGGCTTGCAAAATTGCAGGTTTATAAGGTTTTGCAAGGTTTGCAGAATTTGCAATTTTCAGAATTTGCAGGTTTGCAAAATTTGCAGGGCTTGCAAAATTGCAGAATTCGTAAAGTTTTGCAAAATTTGCAAATTTTGCCATTTTCAGAATTCGCAGGTTTTCAAAAGTTGCAGGGCTTGCAAAATTGCAGAATTTGTAAGGTTTGCAGGGTGTGCAAATTTTGCAATTTTCAATAGTTGCAGATTTTCAAAATTTGTAGAGCTTGCAAAATTGCAAGGTTTGCAGATTTTGCAAAATTTGAATGTGAAGGGATTGCAGGGTTTGTAGAATTGCAACGTTTGCAGAACATGCAGGGTTTGCAGATTTGCGAAATTTGCAACATTTCAGAGAATGCAGAGTTTACAGAATTTGCAGATTTTTCAAACTTTGCAGTGTTTGCAAAATTGCTGAATTCATAGTAAAATGGGCAGGTTTTTAGAATCTGCAATAGTGTGGGATTTGCAGGGATTGCAGAATGGCAAAGTTTGCAGAATTTGCAGAATTTTCAGAATTGCAGTTTGCAGAATTGTCAGAATTTGCAGAATTGCAAAGTTTGCAGAATTTTTCAGATTTGCCGAACGTGCACCTGACACGATGCCCCGCTCTTGTGGCCGGTCCGGCTTTCTGGCCTAGCCAAGGCCCAAGAGGAGGCGGGTGATGCACCCATTGTTGTTGACCGTTGACATTGGGGGGGGGGTCATTGGTCAGTGGGTCAGTTGGCCTTGCGTGGCCTTTGAGATTTATGCAAAGAGATTTCCCATCCAAATTAGTTCCTCTTGTTGTTAATTATTCCGCCCTTTTGCAGCAGAACGAATCACCGTTTCCTCTTCATTTTTCCAAAGAACGACAATCGTAACGAGAAACGCCCTTCGTTTGTATTTCTACGAATCTCTCTCTCTCGATATATATATATATATTTCTCCCTTTTTAATTTTATTTCTCGTGTTGACAGTTACCTTTTGTGTATATTAGTATTGTATTATTAATTAATAATAATAATAATAAATTATTATTATTAATTAATAATATTTTTTTAATTTGGAGGGGAGAAAAAAAACACGAAGGAAAAAAATTTGGCGTTTGTATAGGGTTTTAGTTTTAAAAAGAAAAAAAAGGTTATATATATATATATAAAATATATAAATATATTAAATATATTTTCCATTTTTTAAGAAAAGGACGGCGGGGGCGGCGTTGCAAACGAGGGCGCGCACGGTTTTGAAAACGGGGAAAAAATTGTTGAAAAAAATGCTGCAGTTTTTAGAGATGTTTGTTTTTGTTTTGTTTATTCCGGGCGGGGGAGGGAGGGGAGGGGGAGGGGACAACAACTTATTTATTCTCGGAAATAATAATTACAAAAAAAATGCATGATGACGAAGACGACGAAGACATCAACGCAACCATATTTGCAAGAAAAAAAAGACTGAAAAAAAGGACAAAAAAGTGTAAACAAACAAAAAAAAGTGTAGCGTTTTCGACACAAAACAAAAAAGACACACTTTGTAGGCAGAAAAAAATGGCTAATTAATATATTGTGGTTTTTTGGCTGGTTCGCTTTTTTTGTTGTTCTTTTCCAATGTTTTTCTTTGTTTGTTTGAGAATGAAATCCAAAAGTGTATATTTTCCTATTAAGAAGTATGCACTGATGACATGTGGAAAGACAAATGATCTATCTATACATACATATATATATAGATATATATAACTTTCTAAAAGTGTCGTTCCTTACACAACCGCGTCGGCTTCCGATCGTTTCCTTTACCAATTTCCTTTATAATGTTATTATAATAATATTATTAATTGTTTATTGTGTCGATCCAAAGGGAAGGCCGCTGCGGCTCTATTTATACGTTGTTTCCTTGAATAATAATTGCATTAATTAATTAATTCCATTTTTAAAAAAATAACATAAGCCAAATGAAGGGAAATCAAGTGAAGGGAAAAATAAAAAGCGGGGAAATTAATAATAATAATAATCATATATATATATATATATATATATATATATATATATATATAAAAGAATAAAATGAAATAAAATCAGAATCGTAATATAAGTATAATAAAATATAAGAATATATAATATATAAGAATAAATAATCTGGAGGGCGGGGAGGCGGAGTCGCGGTGGTCTATAAGGATTCTATCTCCCTGATCAGGTACCCCATCCCACAGTCAACCTCCTTTGAGTGTGTCCGCATTAGGATAGGTGACCGGGACAGGACAGGGATTCTGTTAGTGTACCGACCACCCCGCTGCACTACAGTCTCCCTACCTGAGCTAGCAGGGGTGGACTCAGACCTGTCACTGGAGTCTCAATGGCTTCTAGTGCTGGGAGACTTCAATGTACACGCCGAGACCTTCCTATCAGGTGCGGCTCAGGATTTCATGGCCACCATGGCAACCATGGGCCTGTCCCAATTAGTATCTGGTCCCACCCACAGTGCTGGACACACATTGGATTTGGTTTTCTGTCAGGGATGGGAGGAAGGTGGCGGGGTGGAGGAGCTGACCATCGCTCCATTGCCACGGACTGACCACCATCTGATCAGGTTTAAACTTACCGTGCCCCTCAGCCTCTGCAGGGGTGGTGGACCCACTAGAATGGTCCGCCTCAGGAGACTTATGGATCCTAATGGATTCCTGATGGCTCTTGGGTATCTTCCCGCCTCCTTGGCAAGTGACTCTGTCGATGCTTTGGTCTCTCGCTGGGACAGTCAGATGACCAGGGCAATTGATACAATCGCTCCGGAGCGCCCCTTCTCGAGTAACCGAGCTAAACCTGCTCCTTGGTTCACTGAGGAGCTGGCAGCGATGAAGCGAAAGAAGGGGAGGCTAGAGTGCGTGTGGCGCCAAAGGCCCTCCAAATCAGCCCAAACATGTCTAAGGTCCTATGACGTGGCAATAAAGGCAGCACAGAAATCATTTCTTGCTGCTAATATTGCATCTGCAAAGAACCGTCCGGCTGAACTGTTCAGAGGACTGTTAAACCCGCCAAAGAGCGAGATCCCTGACGACTCGGTGGCTCAATGCGAAGCATTTGCTCGATTCTTTGCAGATAAAGTTGCGCTGATTCAGTCTTTGTATGTTTTATATGTTTTATATAATAACATTTTATATAATAATTATTATAATAATATATTATTATTATTATTATTATTTTATTTATTCCAAAAGTCCAATGGCAATAATATGTTATATTAAATATCATATTATATTATACTATATTATTATTATTATTATTATTATTATTATTATTACTATTATTACTATTATTACTATTATTATTATTATTTAGTATTCCAAAAAAGTGCAATGGTTTTATTAATATATTATATTATATTACATATATTATAGTACATGTTTTATATTATATTAATATTTATTCCAAAAGGATGTAATGGCATTAACATGTTATATTGTGTTATAATATTATATTATATTTATTATTATTTAGAATGTCAAAAAAGTGCAATGGCCTTATTATTATATATTATATTACATATGTTTTATATTATAATATATTATTTTATTATTATTTATTCCAAAAGGGTGCAATGGCATTAATATGTTATATTATCTTATATATTATATTATTATTATTTAGTATTCCAACAAAGTGCAATGTTCTTATTAATATATTATATTACATGTTTCATATTATTATTTCTTCTAAAAAAGTGCAATGGCATTAATATATTATATAACATTTTATATCATACTATATTAAACTTATTATTGTTTAGTATTCTAAGTATGGCCATATTACATTATATTATATTACATATGTTTTGTATAATAATAATAATAATAATAATAATAATAATAATAATAATAATAATAATATATTATTATTATTATTATTATTATTAATTCCAAAAGCAAGCAATGGCATTAATATATTATATAACATATTATACCATGTTATACTTATTATTATTTAGTATTTCAAAAAAGTGCAATGGCATTATATTGTATTATATTATATTACATTTTATATAATAATAATAATAATAATAATAATAATAATAATAATATATTATTTATTCCAAAAGCAAGCAATGGCATTAATATATAACATATTATACCATATTATACTTATTATTATAATTCCAAAAAAGTGCAATGGCCTTATTATATTATATTATAGTATATTATATTATATTCCATATGTTTTATATAATAATAATAATAATAATAATAATAATTTAATAATAAAATAATAATAACATATTATTATTATTATTTATTCCAAAAGCAAGCAATAGCATTAATATATAACATATTATACCATATTATTATTATAATTCCAAAAAAGTGCAATGGCCTTATTATATTATATTATATTATATTCATATGTTTTATATAATAATAATAATAATAATAATAATAATAATAATAATAATAATTTAATAAAATAATAATAATAATAATATATTATTATTTATTCTAAAAGCAAGCAATAGCATTAATATATAACATATTATACCATATTATATTTATTATTATAATTCCAAAAAAAGTGCAATGGCTATATTATATTATATTATGTATGTTTTATATTATAATATATTATTATTATTATTATTATTTATTCCAAAATTGCAATGGCATTAGTATGTTATATTATATTATATTATATTACATATGTTTTATATTATAATATATTATTATTAATATTATTTATTCCAAAAGGGTGCAATGGCAATATGTTATATATTATATTATATTATACCATATTATACTTATTATTATTTAGTATTCCAAAAAAGCGCCATGGCCTTCTTATATTTTATGACATATCTTTTATATTATATTATTATTATTATTATTAATTATTTATTCCAAAAGCATGCAATAGCATTAATATATAACATATTATACCATATTATACTTATTATTATTATTTAGTATTCCAAAAAAGTGCAATGGCCTTATTATATTATATTACTTATGTTTTATATAATAATAATAATAATAATAATATATTGTTATTATTATTATTATTATTTATTCCAAAAGCATGCAAGGGCGTTAATATATAACATATTATACCATATTATAATTATAATTCTAAAAAAAGTGCAATGGCTATATTATATTACATATGTTTTATAATATATTATATTATTATTATTATTTATTCCAAAAGGGTTTAATGGCATTAATATGTTTTGTTATATAACATATTATATTATACTAAATTATACTTATTATTATTTAGTATTCCAAAAAAGTGCAATGGTCTTATTAATATATTATATTACATATGTTTTATATTATTATTATTATTATTAATAATAATTCCAAAATTGCAATGGCATCAATATGTTATATTATATAACATTATATTATACCATATTATACTTATTATTATTTAGTATTCCAAAAAAATGCAATGGTCTTATTTATATATTATATTATATTACATATGTTTTATATTATTATTATTATTATTATTATTATTATTATTATTATTATTTATTCCAAAAGCAAGCAATGGCATTAATATATTATATAACATATTATACTTATTATTTAGTATTCCAAAAAAGTGCAATGGCCTTATTATATTATATTACATATGTTTTATATTATAATATATTATTATTAATATTATTTATTCCAAAAAAGAACAATGGCCTTATTATATTATAATATAATATAATATATTATTATTAATATTATTTATTCCCAAAGGGTGCAATAGCAATATATTATATTATATATTATATTATACCATATTATACTTATTATTATTTAGTATTTCAAAAAAGTGCAATGGCCTTATTAATATATTATATTACATGATATTATATGTTATTATTATTATTCCTATGTATT